GGGTTGGGGGGGGGGGGGAGGGAGAACGACGCAGCTCACACCACCTTACACCATCCTCGCTCGGTAACTCACTCAAAAAGTACTTTTGTTTGTTTACGGGGAAGTGAGTTCATTCGGACTGGATGGGTTTTAGTCAAATCCGGTTCAATCGGTGCCATTTGACGACCGAAACATCAATCATCTTGTGGGATTCCCAATGGAGTGCGATTGGTTCGATTCAATTGAATTTACAACGGATTCATTTGAAGTTGAAAAGGTATAGTTGCACGCTCATTTTGCGGTATAGTTACGAATTCACCTTCCGTTTGATCCTTGGAGAATGCGACAGAGCCCAGATATATCGGATAGATGACCTATTCAATCAGATTCGTGTTAACTGATTGACAGACTAAAACATATTACCTCGTGTCTAATGCAGCTCATGAAGAGCTCATCGAGAAGAGGTTGAATGACGATGGTTCGATCTCTTAGCCAAGCTGGATTGGCGTGTATACATGATCTAGTTTGACGCGCCTGCCTATTAAGTTGATTGTGATGAAACATTTGCAAACAAATTCCCGAGCTCAGCGAACAGGCGAAATGGAATAGATAATATGTACTGAAGTTGATACTATCAGTAAGCAAACCTCCTTTCTTCGATTTTCGAGACATGAGCTTATTTTCCTACGAAATTAAAGATCTACGGAGTAGGGATTAGTTTTCCCGACTTTATCTTATTTGAATAAAATTTCCTCTTCTTTGTTACTTTTGACCTAAGTCTGTGCGATGCACGATTGTTTAGATACGATATTCTGTTTCATTTTATCCCCTCTTTTGTTACCTCATTTATGTTTTGACCACTTGATAATGTGCGAGATAAATTCGGTAGTTGCTGAATGATGAATTCATTACTGCGTTCTGGAGTACGAGTTGCACTTTCGTAAGCCGTGACAACACAGCATCATCTAGTGTGTACGTAAGTGATGAAGAATAGCAGGGTTTCCACTACCACAGTTTAAAGCAAATGTGAGGGAGGAGGCACTGGGTATTTGGTTGAACCTGTATGGCATGATTGTTGCCCGTGGGAGAGGATGGGAGAGGATAAGCCGGTTTCATGAATATCAAGTGAAAATCCATAAAATTTATTGGGAGTTAGGTACCGGAAACGTCCCCAGCGTCACCCGGCTTTGGGTCTAGGTGGCATCTCTAGCTTTGCACATCGAAGCGCTAACTGCAAAGCCTCAGGAAGGTAGCGCATGGTTGTCGGTGTCCCTTTGGAGGGGGGGGAGCTCATACGCTACTGACAGTTTCTAGCTGAACAGGGGTTCATGCATCCCTGATGAGTACGGAGTCGTTGCCTTGACCGTTGAGTCGTGAAAGCGACTTCGTCTGCTCAACACCTACGTTAGACGCCAACTCGCAGCGAGTTGAGCTTCCGGTTACCCTCAACCTGGTTTTGCCCGCCTGTCGAGCGTTTTACCGGGGTTTAGCCGCTGTTGCATCCAAACAGCTTCTTAGAGCCACAGATGAGAGCTGAGCGCCTGGTGGAAACCAAAGAACGGAAGTTGCCCTAAAGGGGCCGACAGCCCTCCGAGTCAGAGGTGCTACTCCTGCTGGACACCTCATGCACCCCATGGTTGTCCGTTGTGGTATTATATTTGGTTGGTAAATACGGTTGCCAGGTTCATCGCATAAAATGTAAAATTATTGTATTAGAATCAGTATTTGTACTTAACTTTTTATCTCTTTTCCCCACACAGCCTTCACTGGTTCATGTTGATGAAAATACTCCAATAACTAAATCGGACAGCACTCACCGCGCTACCACGAACAAGATTCAATCGTCCTCCACTGAGAGTACTGACTCAGCGCTCGTGAGTTTCTTTTCTCAGCTTCCCTCAGTCGATGACCCTTCTCACACGATACCCGCTCAGCAACAGTTGGTACGTCGATGCTCCTGGCAAGCACGTTCTGCGGTCACAAAGCGCACAAATCTGTTTCGTAGAGCAAACACACAGTTATTGGTTGATGAGAAAACGTCGCCAACTCATTCATCACCACCATGGAGTCCACCCCGCATTGCCGGACTTACCCGAATACCTTTGCCTGGCCTGGTTCCCAGTCCTCCACTCGGTCCTCGTTTTCCCGGGGCCCAACCGGTCCCAGGGTTGTTTCTTCCGAATGACTCATTGGCCAGTGCGCTACTAGCTCAACGTCGAAAAGTGGGCTACACAGAGGAAGAGTTGTTCACAGCAATCGGGACAGGCGAACAGGAGTTAACTGATACGTCCGTTCAAACTGTTGAGGACTCTGTGAATGAAACTGCCGTCTTGAATCCGCCAGGATCTGAAACACTAACATCACCGTAATTACGAGCATTTTCGTGCTACGCTCTTACCTCGTCGTCTTACGCTTGATTGGCAGCATCCTCGATGTGATTTGATGTTCGCTCAATTGATACCACGTTTTATTTCCGGTTCATTTCTCTGTGTCAATTTGTTTGTGTTGGACCACAAATGAACTTATGCGGATTACCAAAAAAAACGCTTTTCTCATGGACCAATGTCCGCCTTCTTTTTTTCCTCATTTTCACGCATGCATTTGCAGTCACCTTTTTGATGCCTCTTTACATGATTTTTGGTTTGTTCAAGAACCTCACCTCGTCTGGTACTGAGTTTAATTGCTTTACTATCTGTGGGTGGACGGTTCGTTGCGGTAAAATAGAGCAGAAATAACATTTGTCGTGTCTACTAGTTCTGCGCAATCGTGGCGCTTTTAAACATCTCGGATAGAGTCGGTTACTGATGGATATTTGACTCTACTGCAATAGTGTAAAACTTCGTCAGTGTATATTGGTCGAATTCCAGTTACGAAGAATGACTAGCTAAATAAGCAAATTATACACAATCGATGTGTATCCACACAAACTCGAGNAAACTCGAGCACCAATGGTTTGTCATTCTAATTCTCAGTTTGCCCCCCCCTGTCGCCTTCGTTCCAGCAAAAGAGCCGCCCAAATTCAGAAGCAGATGGAGGCTCAAGTGAAACTGATTGAATAATTGATGCAGCGGCTCAACCCGCAAACAACAGAATCAGTTTCGCGTGAAATCCCCTCTAGTGCTACCGAAATGCTTGCAAATTCAATCACTGAATTCAGCTATGATCCTGAAACTGGCCACACTTTCGAGGCGTGGTTCANNNNTGCTGATCCAAAAGCTTGGAACCACTGAACACTCCAGATTTGTTGACCACATTCTTCCCAAACAACCAAAAGATTTGAAATATGACAAAGCGGTGGCAAAATTATCAGAAATCTTTGGTGAGTCAGTTTCACCGTTCAGTGTCCGATTGGAGTATCTGAAATTTAATAAACGGGATGGAGAGGATTATGGCATGCTTGCTGATAGAGTCACTCATGAGTGTGAACGTTTCAAACTTCTTTCATTGACCGATGAACAATTCAAGTGCCTCATTTTCATCAGAGCATTGAAGAACACAGAAGATGCTGACATCTGTACCCGTTTATTATCCAGACTTGATCAAGACCCGGATATGGACCTGAAGTCTCTTATGGCCGAATGCAAACGTCTTCTCTCCTTGAAACATGACATTGCGTTGGTCGAACAGAAGGCTTCCGTAGCTGACGTTCATGCAATGCATCGCCCAAAGAATCAGCTATCAATGAAAAACTTCAAATCCGTGAAAAACGCCACCAGTAAACCACCCTGTGCATGTTGGTCGTGTGGCGATTGGCATTTTTTACGCTTTTGTCCCTTCAAAAAGCATATCTGTCAAAAGTGCAATAAACGGGGTCACAAGGAAGAATGCTGATGGTCAACTAGACACACTGAAGTCAGAAGAAAGCGGTTCACAGAAAGTCCAACAAACGATTCTCAGTAGCACGCTCAGTTGTTGCGGCTTTTCAAACGGATCACCAGTCAAAGAGAAAATTCCTCTCTGTGCTCATCAATGGCAAACCAGCCAAACTGCAGTTGCACAGAGCCTCAGACATTACGCTAATCTCTAGAGGCATATGGAATCGCATCGGGAGGCCACAAATGATTTCATCTACCAAAAGAGCGAAAAATGCTCCACGAGGCGAGCTGAAACTAACTGGTGAAATAAAATGTGACATTTCGTTCCGAGGTATCACCACTAAAGGAACATGTTATCTGACAGATCGACCCAACCTGAATCTCTTAGGTCTTGATTGGATAGAGAATTTCGGATTGTTTGATGTCCCCATGAATGAGGTGTGTCATCAAGCCTTCAGACAGAACGACATAAATCACATCACCTCCCCCGCATTTTCATCCGCAATCGAACGGTCCAAAGAGAGCCGTATGTACAAGCGCGCACCTCAGAAATCAAAAAGGGGAGGGCGAAACCCCAAAATGCGAACGTTCATTTCAAAATGGTAAATGTTAGAACGGAGCGCACAGAATCCGTCCTGCCACGCATCGACCCGCATCACACCACAAGCGTGCTCGTGACGCCCAAGCCGATTCGACTCCTGATTAGATAACTAAGGCAAATCAAATAGCTGTCGTGCGATCGATCAACCTGAGTCTCAAGGTCGCGATCTGATTGGTGCGTCGTCACGTCTTCTCTTGTACGCCCTATTTATCATATATATTTGCGTTGTTTCATAGTCAACAATACACTGACTGTTGTTTCTCAGCTGTGTTCTTTCTCCAATTGTTGGGCCTAGACAAACACTTAAGTATCTTATTGAACTCGCTCAGAATGAAGGATCAGAATTTTGCTGTTATTAATTTGTAAAGATTGCTTAAAAGACTGCAGGGTCTTCCTGCACAGTATTGCTTGAAACTTTGTTCACACTAGGAGAAGCAATGGAGTTTCTGCATGCCGGGTTAGTGTCTCTCTGAATTTCGACGAGCGGATTTTGTAACTTCCTCGTAGTACAAAATCTGTCAGGTGGAGGTTGCAGGCAGTTTACGAATGAAGATGAAAAATACAATTCACAAGGGTGTTTAATTAAAAATGCAATATTTAAAAGCTGTGTTTTATGAGATGAGTCTACAGTCTAACGCGTTGTGATCTTTCGGTCGAAAAAAGTTTCTAATCAGGTAGTAAATTGCTTTGAGCTGTGAAAATTTCAAAGTTTTCCGAGGAGTTCTGGACGTTTTGATCATCATGTGGTGAACTCAGCTGGTCTTGAAATAAAACAAATAATCACTTCAGTGAATACCTTTTCAATTGATTTGAGCAAAAATGAGAACTGTAGCTGAACCAAGCATCATCAGCAATTGGCGTTGAGAATTGAATGATTTTTTCTCGAAGATGAATTGGTTTATACCAATGGGGTTGAACCTCATTGTACCGGATTGACGTCCAGTGGTAGAGTGACCTAAGTGTAGTGCTGGAAGCGGTTAAGTAGTTTCGAAAACTGATCAACCAGTTGAGGACTCGAGCACTGTCTACTACGCGGATTCACGAACGAAATGTGCGGCGGGTAAAATCTGCTTGATACGGCACGAATACTTGTTGGAAAATCGACGTCGGAAGGAGATACTGTAATTGCCGCGCCTTTCATATACTTTCCGAAACTATCTGTTTTCAGGATCATGCAAAAAATTGACGTGTGCTTTGGTCGTCACCGTAAGAATAAAACAATGTTAGGGTGGATAAAGTTTATAGAACTGACTGTGCCCTTGAGAGGCTGGAACTGTGAAAATCACCTATCAGCGTTGATCGTAGACATCTTTACTCTTACTCGGTTTTATACCTTTCCTATTCGAGCTTTATTTGATTCGACAACCCAGGCTCAAGGTTTCAAGGGCGAATAACTGACAAATAGATCCTCATGCCTTTTCGGGTTCCCCGTTATAGCCAGTCATCACACTGTATTGTGTAAAAAAGAATGTTCATTGAACTGTTTTAGAATTGTACATTCATTAGGCCACTTGTGTAACGATTGCCTTATTTCCTCATCACAATTTGCAGAATAACTGTACAAATTAGTGAATCGCATGACCATCTATTTCGCAAAATAGGCGGGAAAAATGACTACACGTTGTCGGGATCCGGTCTTTCAGACATTCCTTATAGTAGTCAGCCACATTTGATGATGGAACTACCAAATATCTAATAATTTCATCTGTAACAATGATCAGATTTAGGGACCGATTGGCCTTTTGATAAAAAAGGCACCAATTTAAGAATAAGGAATGCAATTCAATGTTCGTTATCTCGTGTGTTTCTTTTCTTACAATGATAGTAATGTGGACGGTAGTCAACAGAGTCAGTGCGTTTGGGTGAGACAAATATCTTTCCTTAGGATTGAAACATTCCTCCATCACTGTACAATTTGTTTACGGGAACGTATAGAACGCGAAGAAAACAACCCCACTTGGTTACGCAACTTTTCTTTGACGGATCGTTTGCGTAAGCATGTACTAGTCTTTGGAGTTCGAACCCCGGGACACGGGGTTGTTGCATGTACAATTATAAGTTTGCAGGCAACGGTTTTCATGTGATCACCAATTCTGGAATTTAGGGGGCTGATTTTCAAATCCCCTCTTAACTGACATTCTTTCACACAACGACGAACCTCAGTTCCCGAACTCGGAGCCATGCAATATCGGCTGCATTAGCAAACAATTTTGTTTACATTAGTATTTACAATATTTCCGCTCATAATAAATACCAGTCAGGTGTACACGGATGTCATCTCAAAGTGCGTTGTTTTATTAAAAGCTGTCCAAGCATCTTCATAGTGAGAAACAATTGCGCTTTACTGTTGCAAAATTGTTGAGTGACAATAAATATTCACCGCAATGCAACATTGCTGATTTACTTCAACGTCGCGTTTCAACTACTCATGAGTAAGAAAATTTCAATTTCAACCAAAATTAACCGAATGTTTGCGTCCTCCAATCAATACGGTATTATGTCGAACTTCGTGAGCAGTTTCAAGCGAAAAAATAATTTCGTAACCATGCCACTACAGTTTATGTGAAAACATAAGAACCTCAGAGTTGTGAGGATAACAATAAACTATGAGAAATCGATCACTATGTTCGTTACATATGATATTCTCATTTTCGTGCTTCAAGGATTTGCAAATAACTCACGTTGGTCGTGTGACTCACTGCTGAAGGTCGGTGGTATTGGGTGAATATGCATGTGTGTACGCATGGGGAAGCGATGGGTTCGTGAACCCAGGCGGTTTGGAAAACTTGGATTATACGCTTCAGGGCATATAGTTCAGAGGTGGAGATATTTATAAGGATGGACTCTATCATGGCCAAAGTACGTATTATTACAAAAAAAACACGAAATTCTTCACCTGGTTTCAACGATGATCAGTATCTCCATCACATGGGCGAGAATCGCATTTGAGATA